CCTAACAAAAATCAAATGGAGAAATTTTAGAGAACCTTGTTATATTCAATATATCAGCCATTAAGTATTATTCAAGAAAGCTAATGGACTATAATGAATAACTTTGATGTAGATGAGTGTAGAATTCTAGCGTGAGTCTAGGGATTTGATTTAGGATTGGGATTCAAAGGATAGGTCTAACAGAATTCTGAAGAGGATTCCAAGGTAAAATCTGAGAGAATAGTAAGAGAGTTCTGGCTGTTGAGGAGAATTCCATGAGAGGAAGGAGAATTTTAAGGGATGTAACTGTTTGGTCACAAGTCCATAGGTTGTTGTTATATTTTTATTGTTTTCGGAACCTTCACGTTTCTTGTGCGTAAACAGAAGTCATCTACAAAAGCAGCAATGGGGTTGGTAGCGCTGTAATGGAACTGTAACCGTTGCAAGTTGCAAGATACAAGGCAGCACAATTATTGTACTGAATTAACATGGTGCAAGATGACAGATGAAGAAAAAAACTGTTATCGGTCTATTTTCTATCAGGCCAGGCGGCCGTGTGTCAAGAGGTGATATTTATTACGGGCAGCGGTGTAATGGAACGTGAACCTCTTTGTTTTCGTCATCCGTCAGGAAACTGGAAACGGTTTCCGAATCTAAGGCCGACAACATAGTAGAAGCATGGAGACTAGAAAGTCCCGAAATAACGTGCTCATCTTTTTGGCTCAGCTCTGGTACTCTCTTCGGTTCCAAGCTAATCGATTCACCCCTCGAAACATAGGAAAATCCATTAACCCCTCATTTTATCTGTCAAACTTTCATAGCGAATCAAAACAAACATTGTGTAGTAGTAGAATTTCGACTAGAATAGGGTACGTTAATCGTTTGCTTGGGACCAATAGGCAAATCAAGTAGTGAGCCAATTTTTTTTCCCTTTATTTAACGTCGGTCTCTGTTTCGCAATCTAGTGCCAATCACCGACGGACATCGATTGCAACCGAATGTGCAGGAAGGCAGCTTCCACACCTGCGTAGGATATCGCACCCATTCACAACACACATGGGCCGGGACCAACGACTTTACTTCCCTTCCGAAGGAAGACGTGACCAGAGATTTTTATGCCTCAGAAAAATCCCACCGACCTCGGCTGGGATTGAATCCAGACCCATTGGGGTGTTAGAAAGCAGTCACGCTTACCACTACACCACCGGCGCCGGCAAGTAGTGAGCCAATTTAAAATCGTTAAGTTTCGTATTGATTGTTGGTAGAAGCGATTCGATGCGATAACACAACCTATGACATAGTGAAAGCGTTTTTAAAAAACATTACAGTCGCACGCGCAGTGCAAAATATTTGTTCAAATTTGTTTCAATTCAGCATGGATTCATCCGATGAGGAATATTTCGCTTCCTCAATCAAGCACGATCAATTTCGTAATGAACAACAAAAGAGAGTTTGCAGTTCACCCGAGCAATCGAAATAGAAGGCGAGATGAGGAGTTCTTCAGATTGTACGAAGATCTTCGTAAATATCCAGAGAAGTTTCAGTCTAAAGCAAACCCCACACGCATCAATATATTGACGCGAAGGGGAATTATTGACAATAATATTGATGATGTGAATTCAGAAATATTGTCAATCTCGATATATTGACGTCAATATCGAATGTATTGACAATACGATTATTGTCAATAAAAGTAATCGTGTAGGGTCAACTTAACACAAGAATGGATATGGACACATTCGATCTGTTTTTGAATCTAGTGACAAACAAAATTATCAGTCCACTTGCGTCCGCAGGCGTCAAAACACAACACGAACAGCTCTGTCGCTTTGCTGAACGCTGCACCCCTCTTCGCATCGCTTTCACTATGATAGGTGAATTCTCTGGCCCAACGAAGACCATAATCGCCAAGGAGTATTACTCTCTCGGTTTGCCAAGGTGGCTATGTCACGGTCGACCGATAAACGTCCATGAGAGAATACGCCTGCCATCTCACAATCTAGCAACACCCGCTGGTCAGTTAATCATCCGCTCGCTTCGCCAATCCGGTTAGACTTTCGGCCGCACAGAAGGATAGGAGCCGCTGTGTCGGCCATCCCGATCATTCATCGGCAGCAGCGGTATGTACCGGTACAGTGCGCAACGAAATTAGGCTACACGACACAAAAAACACGTATATGATACAGACATTGATGAATAAACGTATTTAAAGTAAGGTAAAAATTCTTCGTGAAACCCTGTGATTACCCAGTAGCTAGCCGACCGGGTGCTGTATAAGTTGAAAATCGAGTAGGTAGTCCGCGGTAGTAGATTTAAATCCGAAATGCCGCTAGACCGATTTATCCTTGCGATTTCAAAACAAAACATTCAAGGTGTCAGAAATACCGGGTTGCCGGGATGGGTATTCTACAAACAATCGCAGCTTGCTCTATAACCGGCACACTTGCGGCACACTGAAAAAAAGATGACCTAATATTGGTGTGCGGAGTGACCTATTCATTGGGTCATATATTTTTTTTTTTTAGAACTCAAAGAAGAGTTTTTAGGGAATCTTGAAGATGAAATTTAAGGGATCACCGAGGATGACTCCATGGAAATTTTTGCATAATACTTAGTGAATACTGAGGAGGCAGAAATTAAAGAGAATATCAGAGTGAAGTAAAGTGCGTTCTGTAGTATTTTTTAGAGTATTAAGGAGTAAATTCAGTGCTAACATTTGAAAACGGCACAAAAGCCATTTGTAAACAAATGGTTTGTGGGCCCTTTACTCACTACTTGAAGTACACCCACGCGACACAACAGCAACATCGGGTAGGGGAAATTTTCCCCTTCCTGACGATGCTGTTGGTTTGCGTGGGCGTTCTTCGGGTAGCGAGTAAAGGGCCCACAAACCATTTGTTTACAAATGGCTTTTGCGCCGTTTTCAAATGTTAGCACTGAATTGTAATTGAATGTCAGACTTCTAAGATGAACTTTGAGGAACTTTTGAGCTGATTCTAAGGAAATTCCTGAGAACGTTCTTAATTACCTTCTTTGTAAGTATGGTGAAAAGGAAGATATTTTAGGTATTTTTTTTTTTATAATTACTTTTTTTGTACAGGCTCAATCGAATAAACTTTACAGAGTCGAGTTATCATTTATTACGTTATATATTATACATTATTATATGTTACATTATACGTTATACATTATTAATGTGTTATATTTAAAGTTAAACGGACTGGACCGAATACTTGCGGTTGTTTTCGAGGTTAGTGGAGATATACAATATTTTGGATGGGAAAAGGGAAGAGGAGGTTTGAAATGTAATTTACAATACCCATATTTAATTAATCCTAAAACATGAGCTTGTTTCTATTTATCTTGAAAACAAACATTAAAAAAACCCACACGTACAAAATACAAATTAAACACAAGGTTAATCAAACTTACAATCTAAGGTTAATATTCTTAAAGTAAACATATTTTAGGTAATTGTCTCGGTAATGAAATACGAAGAAATGGATCATTTCGGGTAATAGGGTAACATCGGCAAGAATAGTTTGAATGACGTCAAATATGCTCCGACGTCATCGAAACACATACTTCCTTACACTCATTCTGACGTTACCTCGCCGTTCACCTAGCAGGCATCGTGAAGGTTCGGCTGACTCGGTCAGTCTTCATCCGGTTGTTCGCAAAGTGAGTTGCAGAGTGTACTCTTGTGCGTCTGTACCAGTCGTCCTTTTGAACTTTTCAATTTGAGTCAATAGTTTGAAGACAATTTTCGGTAATCTACCGGTGCATAAAGTGACTTTTTCCTAGTGAGGGTTGTTACCCGATCCGTTAGGAAAGTTATTTCGATATTTTTGGTGCAAATATTCAGGTGAGTGGCGAGAAAATTTAGTCAAATTTGATGACGACTATGGTCTGACCGTGTGAAAAGACGCATTGAGTGTAGTATGACGAATGGATGGGCTTGGGTAGTTTGAATTGTGAGATTTTGTGGCTTTTGGGTGAGCTTTCAGTGAGTGCAAAAAGTGACACGAGTGTAGTGCAGCTGATTTTGATAAGATTTTGAGGCCTTTTTTAGAAATTGATGCAATTTGATTTGTTAACTTATTTTTCTTCACCTCTAAGTCCCTCGTACATGACACGACTACATTGATAAAATTAGTAGCCGCTGATTTTACTGGTGTATGTGCTCCCGTAGGTGATGGTATTATTTATAAATAAATGGGAACAAGTATTGTACTCGTGTTCATATGGGGCTATGAACGCACACTACGCCAGACAGCTGGCCGCGGTCAAAATTCGTACAACTGTGTATGTGTTTGTGGTTGCGCGATATCTCCCAGATTGTGCCCCGTTTCCTGAGAGAAAACGTAAGCGAGAGAAGAGTACTGAAAAATGTAAACGTAAATAAAAAGTATAGCAAAATAGGACCTGTCTCATAACTTTGTGTAGTGAAAATGCTGAAAATTGGGTCTCTCGTGGAGACGTGGCTTCGGTTTGCAATTATGAAAAGGTTAGAATATTGAAGCCACAGGGTGGCAGTAGTGAGCACAATATGAATCGTAATTGTCCGTTTTTCACCTTGAACTTAATCGTGTTCTGCATTTATGTACTACTGTTGTACTCGTGAGATAATTAAGAATGATCTTAACGTTTTATGATTCAAAGAAAAAAATACGCTAATCCACATCCTACCCATCTCGCTGTGAGGTGTTGTGTAAAGGACGCAGGGAAGCGTGTGGGTGGGTAGAACGCGGGAGGGTGGTTGATTTGATCTGAGGAAGGGGGAATTGCGATTCAGAGAAAACGTTTGGTTTGTAAGGATGGAAAGAACATGTAAATTTCAAGCCTGTTTGAGCTATTTTTAAGATGGCACTAATACCGCCACAATACTGAGAGCTCAAATGCAACAGTGTGCGTGTGTGGATTGATACGACCCACATCAATACCTTCAAAGCTCTTGCCAGTGTTGGTAACTGATAGGTATACGGATCGAATGTTACTACGTCAATACGCCGTATACGGATAGTCTTCGGTCCATTCATGGTGTAGTTTCGAGGTAGCAGTAGACCAAGTGCGATGTGTACGTTTTTCGTCCGTGGTGTCTGAAGGTGTGAGGCCAGGAAAAAATCTTCAATTTTTTCTTAACCCAGAGATACGCAACAAAGCCGATAGGAAAAGTGGGTAATTCGCGACTATTTCGACCGAAATCAACCACGAAAAGTGTCCAAAAGTACATTCTGAGAAGACATTTCCGCTTGACCTGTGTCATATGACTCAAGTGAACACCGTTTGGCCCCGTTTAGATTGAGTAAGTGAATGTATAGAAGTGAATTCCACCGAAATTTGTGCGTGTGATGTGACTGCAAATTCACGGTAGCATCGATTTTTTAAAACGCTATATCGAGTCATATTCTCCTCGAAATTGAACGCAGAAAAACGCGATTTCACCGAATTCGATGGTGGTGTCATGTGAGTACAAGTTCCTACACGGTTCAGATCCAGAAGCAAGCCCCCTTTTTTCCAAGCCTTGATGTGAGGTAAAAGCCGTGTCTGGCAATGTAGAAAAAAGAAGCGAGCGGACCGAAAACGAAGAAGAAGCGAAAAATCGGGGGAAAAAACCTTTCAGTTATGCTTTGATTGGGTGGGGCGTCATTTCAATAATAATTTTGCATTATTATTTTCGGAGGTTTTTGAATCGCGTTGTGTGTTTGTTAGCCGCGCAAGCAGCAGTCGGCAAAGGTGATTTCGGAACGAGGAAAATTGGTATGCACTTCCGGTTCTTTCGTTTTCGCTTCAGTTCATCCCGTAACATGCCTACCAGCTCTACGTCTGGCCGCGGCAGGTACCACCAACCCACTTGATTCCAGCCAAGCGTTGGATGATCAATTCATCCACTCAAAAGTGTTGGATATGTGATTTTCAGTTTATAAAATGCTTAAATAAATTGCCTTTGGCGAATTAATTCATCGGATGTTTTCATGCAATCAAAGTTGGAGAAAAGCATCAAACCGCAATAGATGGCAGTATTGCGTGTGTGATAAGGATATATAGACATACCTAGACATATGTGAAAATTATGTTTAACCACTGTTCAGCTGTAGGTATTAATGATTCTCACACATGACTTTTAAACAGCATATTGCGCAAGCAGAGAAAGATTTTTTTTATCGTGGTTGGGAAGATAAATAATTTGAATAACGGGATAATGTCGGCCTCTGGTGATTGCTTGTTTTGCTCGACCCCAGCAGATGGTTGTAGATAATTTCAGTTCATTTGAAGATGGCTTCATGAGCATTTTTTCCTCGATATACACATGTATTTGCAAAAATTGTAGCGAATTTTATTATTGACCAAGGGTCACTCGGTAGCCTGATTAGTTGTATTTATTTTTCTCAAAATATATGGAGAATAGTGCATTTAAATTGATTTCTATCAGACATAATAATTACAATAAGCTTAGATTTATAATAGATTTGGCCGATAGAGGGGAAGGAGGGGCATAGTGAACAGGTGGGGCATAGTGAGCATCCCGCAGGCTGGATCTATAGCTGCATGAAACAAATCAACTGGTAGTAGATTCAATATCATTATGATATTGATCCTACCACCAATAAATTTGTTCCGAACGGTCGGAAGTCCAAGCTGGTGCACGGGATACTCACTATGCCCCTGTTACCCCTAATGTTTCATTCTTGAAACAGTTGTTCGTTCGCTACATAGTTCACAGTGGTATGGATAGCAAATTTAGCCACGAAATAGCCTCACTCTATACCCTGGATCAAACGATAGATTGATTGAATAAATATCAACATGGACCAACAACATCGGTGGAATGGCTAGGAATTATTGACACTAATCGAAAGTGAACTATTTAAGAGCAGACTAGGATAAAAGTATCAGCTTTGGTACTAAAATTGCATATGCCATAACCAGGGATGGCAAATCATTTACATTCATTTCGGGCATTCATTTACATTCATTTGCCTCTAACTTTTTTCATCAACAGAATTCCGTAAAACAGTGTTTTAAGCTTTTGTAGACTTTGATATTAGTTACATCTTTTGTGAACAACTCAAATCTGTATCTTTTATGCATGATGAATCAGAGCGATAAGAACCCACCATTGTTTTTCAGTGAATGTAAATTACATTCACTGAAAAACAATAACATGTTCTGCCAGCTCTATTTCATCATGCATAAAAAATTCAGATTTGAGTTATTAACAAAAGTTGTAGTTAATATCAAAAGCTTCATACATCATTTTACGGTATTCTGTTGATGAAAAAAGTTAGAGGCAAATGAATGTAAATGAATGCACGAAATGAATGTAAATGATTTTCCATCCCTGGCCATAACTGGAACAAACTAATAGCTCAGTTATAAGTTATTACTTATATAATTTTGAGTTATCCAGCTTTCCATGCTCGGTAATGGCAGACGTCTGTATGAATAAATGTATCCTTCACTATGCTATTTGACACTAACTGGAGGGCGTATGTTGTTCAATTTTCTTCTGTTCCTGCGAGAGGGAAAGAGAGGGGTCAAAATTCAAACCTCCAGATAGTGTCAAAAAGCACAGTGAACGATACATTTGTTCATACAAACAGGCCGCCATTATCGAGCATGGAAAGCTGGATATAAGTAATGCCTTATAGCTGAGTAACTCCAGCCCAAATAGCAAAACAAAAACAGACTCGATCACTCCATGAAACTTCGTTTTGTGCTGGAATTCGCCATTTTTATCGCACGCCTCATTTTTCTTTTCTTTTTTATAAAGCAGCACGAGAATGTTCTGTTTTTTTAGGAAAAATGTTTATTTAATAGCGTAAAATGCCCTTTTAATATTAAAAGGGGTGTTCACTGGAACCGGGAGAACAACTGGAAAATAATCGGTTTACAACCCTAAAATATGTTGTTATACCTTTATTGATGGATTTAAGTCTGTGGCGATGCGTAACCTAACTTTTTCCAGTGCAGTAACTTTAAACTCACTGCGCAAAAATCACCTGTTCACAACTTCAAATTGCGCCATTTTGAATAAAGGAAAAATTGATATCAGAACCATTTACCCAGAATCTGGGTAGATTCCACTCATCGATACAAAACTAGTTTACTCATTTTTTGACAACTCCATACAGCATGCAAAAATGAGTGAGAACTATCTGAGTAGTCTCGAAATAGCGTGTACGTTATACGTAGAGTCGGAAGTAGTGCGCATTATAGCGCATCATTGTGCGATTACAGCGCACTTCTTCCGACACTATGCATAACGTATACTGCTGGTAACCGCAAGTCAGTCCCATCTGTATTTTTATCAATTTTTAGTTATCACCATTATTCAGTTTATCTTTTTATGTTTTTTTGAGCTGTGCTATTAAAAAAGGGTGGTTTGTTCAAGAAAAAATAAAAACAATACAAAGTCAAATTGTCCCACAGCGAAAAGTAACCGCAAGTCAGTCCCACAAGGAAAAAAAATATGATTTCATTAAATACACTATAAAACAACGTAACAGTCTATGTATTTAGCCTTTCTTCTATTGAATTAAGAATGTTAGACAACATATCGCATCAAGATATTTGACTCAAGACATTTATTGATTCAAGTTGTCGGTAAACAGTTTTCATAGATCGAGATGACATTTATTTTTAAGCATATCTCAATCTACAAGTATCAGTCTCAAGTACCGTAAACTGCCAGAATTCTGCGCATTTAGCCAACATTGCGAACTCCCCAATTGAAACCTAATTAATGCTCAATTCCATTTAAATCATAATTACCTATATAATTTATAGTTATACAAAAATTTCAAATTCACCTAATGAGACGTTGAAAAAAAAAAATACATGATATGTATGTTTCCCATATAAATGTAAGCGAGTCTGAATATCTGATATCTCGTGTCTTATATGTTCCGGATTATATAATCATACCAGCTGAAAAGCTTCAGTGAGCACCATAGCTCGAATCGTCTATCTGTATTGTGTATTTTATGGAGAGCCCAACTGAGATTAGAGCATATTAAAACTGCAGTTGGTGAACTCTCGAACACCACATTATTTTCAGAACTATTGTATTGATTTTGCACGGATAATATTTAACAGGGACTGCAGCAGCGAAAAAATATACATTCGGACAAAAATCACTGTAAAATCAAGATAAATCGTTAATTTTCTCAAAAGACACATCTTATTTTTTTTTTAATTTTGTGTGTGACGAAATTTGAACTTATGCCCTTAAAGCGGGTGCATAGATGGTAAAATGCTTGAAATTATTTTTGTTATTAACAAATTTGTTAATATATTCAAATTTCACATTTCTAAATAGAAGGGGCGACCCCGGCTTAGTGGTTATCATCCATACCTCTCACGCCAAAGTCACGAGTTCAAATCTCGCCCCCCCGGACAAGTCACGAATGACCCAAGAGCGTTAAAGTGACTATAATAATAATAAAAATTAAAATAGATTCTAAGTAGAATAGGGGTAAGAGGGGCATAGTGAGCATCCCGTGCACCAGCTTGAACTTCCGGCCGTTCGGAACAAATTGGTTGGTAGTAGGATCAATATCATAATGATATTGAACCTACTACCAGTTGATTTGTTTCATGCAGCTAGAGATCCAGGACCAAACTGTGGCATGCTCACTATGCTCCTCCTCCCCCTACCAATATTTGATTCTACGCATCTTTTTTAATGAGTTAGTGAATATCTACATTTTTCCTAAGTTCATCTGTTCTCAAGTTATTGCAAGTTTAAAAAACATATGATCCTTTATGTTGCAGATACTACCGTTATAATTGTTTTTATAAATTTATATTTTTTGGATCTTATTCGAATCAGCGAAGTTTAGTCGAATCTATAATTCTGTCACAAAATTTCCAAACTGCCACCTAAAATAAAGATGAACTTTCAGTGTCAACATTTCAAAGGAGCGTAATTGGAAGATTGCCGTAAAAGCTAAACGCAGATGTCGCCACTGCATGATGATGATGATGATGCAGACTGATGTGCATCTTTGACTTTTCCAGTTGAACTTTCATAAGATATATTCATTTCATTTCGCGGCTGCATCAATGCTGCATCGTAAATATGATGTAAACAGAAGTAAATTGCTCAATTACTCAAAATAAAGATGATTTGTAATCTTGTTATCACTTTTAAGACCATCTAGCACCATTTTATAGTATGGTGCGTGTTGAGTAAAGCAAGTTCCGTTGCGTTTTCCGTCGAAAATTGTGAGCATCAATTTTTTTTTTTTTTTTTTTTTAGTTCTTTATTAAGGAGATTTTTAGCCTATGGCTAGTTCATCTCCGAAAATGTGAGCATCAATATGTTTGCTTAGAAAAGGCCAAAATGAACATTTATTGAATATTGGCGTCCTATACAACCAATTCTCCATTACCACCAGCATGATACAACCTTTCCTAAGTAAATTCACTTAATTTCCACTTTCATCTTAGTGGAAATCGCA